GTGGGACAGAGTCTCCAGACCTGTCATGGAAGACAGGGACCCCCACCACCAGACCTCACATAATGCAGCCCTGTCACTGTGCTTATATTACTTTGAAAATATTTCAGAAAACCACTGTCACTTGATATGAAGATGATGTAACATTTGAACATATAGATTTAAAAAACAGTAAAATATCCAAACTCCCCAAAGAACCAGTGTTATTGTTTATATGTAGGTTTCCAGGCTTTTCATCATAAAAATACATGCATCATGTATAGAGACGCAGTGATCCTCCATACCCATCTGCTTCCTTTCCCATCTGATGTACCCCCCACACCCACCGTGCCTGTCAGCGTGGACCACGTGGAGAAGTCTGCGTGGTGTTCTGTGTCGTGTGCAGCAGGCTGGCCCTGCTGTGGACATCAGGTTGCTTCAGCAGTTCAGGTTTCCATATCATGAATAGTGCTGCGGTGGGATCCTTGTCTGTCTGTGCCTCCATGCTGACTTGTTTTGTTATTTCAGGATCCATTCTTAACAGGAAACTGCTGGGTCATAGGTTTTTTTCCCCTTGTCCCTACATCTCTGTCTCTGTCTTGTTCTCTCTCTAGAACAGACAGAAGCTTTGTCGACAAGCTAAATAACTAGGATTTGGGTCTGAGTCTGTGCATGAGAACTGCTCCGGCCACAAGCTTCTCTCCCCTGCACAGGCCTTCCTTGAGGGCCACGGCCGTGCACAGCCTTCCCTGATACTCACAATGGCAGAACAGGACAGAAGCAGGTGACCATGGGCTGATTGGCCCGGCCAGGGGCAAAGGCTTTCCCTGCAGGGAACACACTGGTGTCATCTCTGTGTCCTAGGAGGCGGGATCAAGGGCACGAGCCACCCCAGCCATCCGACAGGATGACCCAGCCCAGGAAGCAGCCCCGCATGTGAGCACCTCGGGTCCGGCAGGTCCTCCTTGGCCTTTCTGCAGCACGCAGCGCAGTTGGCAGCAGCTGCCCCTGACATGCTCTTCCCCGGGCTCTGATGTGCCCGTGCTCCTGGGCTCCCTGCTGCTTCCCTGGCAGCCCCTCCTCGTGCCCTGTGCCTGTGCGTCCCACGGGCTGAGCCTGCACGTCCCCCAGGCCACCACCTCCGCCTCTCACCCTGGCTGCAGGAGCAGTGACAGCGGGCGGGGACTGGGCCCCCACTCCAGTGACTTCATGTGTTTCGTGTGCTTTCCGTGATCACTCATACTTTATAAAATTATCCCGTTTTATGCTCCAAGTAGCCCCTTTTATCATCTCTTGGGGTTATCTGTCCTCCATGGCTTGATTTCTATGACTTGATATCCTTTGTTTACGTATTTTGTTGCATTTTTCAGTTGTTGCAGGTGGGAGGGTAGACTCAGTCCCTTTACTCCATCCTGTTGGAGCAGACGTCCGGACTCCCACCTTCAGGATGGCAGGACAGAGGCCTGAGGACAGTGACTCGTCTGAGGTCACACGCACATGCCGGCCCCACACTGAGTGCTGAGGGTGTGGATGGGAGGTGGCGTCACCGCACAGATCAGCCGCAGGCTCATGACCGCAAACCCACGTGTCCAGCCAGTCCCGTCTGCTGTCACTGGGAAACCCGGCTCACCCTCCTCCCTCGTGCCTATTCCTGCAGGCAGAGGAGGAAGCAGCGGTTCCCAGAACGTGTGGCTGTCACCACATGTGCAAAGGAGCCCTCGACCCTGAGGTGGGGAGCCCTGGATCGTCTGGGTGGGCCCAGTGGACCACAGAGGTGCTTACACAAGGGGCCAGGGGGCTCAGAGTCAGAGGAGACGAGAGGATGGAGGGAGGGGTGAGAGATCTGGGGGATGGGGAAGGGTCGCGGCCTAGGGACGCAGGCGCTCTAGACGCTGACGGGACAGGCACGTGTTCCCTCAGACCCCAGCGGGAGTGCAGCCCTGCCGACACCTGGCTCCAGGCTTTCTGACCTCGAGAGCTTAGGGCAGTACGTCTGTGCTGCTCTGGCTGCTGAGTCTGTGGGGGTCTGTGACAGCAGCTAACAAAACACGACACCGAGGGTGTGGCCTGGCAGCGGCCCCCAGCACGGACGGCCTGAGTTCCCGTCCAGCCTCGGCCGCTCGGCAGCCGCTGTTTCCTCATTTTGTAGAACGGTGATTGAAGGATCCCCACTGCTGGCCCCGTGAGGACGGGTGCGCTATCCCGGGGAAGTGGTTCCCCACAGGGCCCGCCTGTGCTAAGCTCTGCTGTGTTCGTGGCCACTGTCCTGCCCACAGCCTCTGAAACATGTCCAGACCCTGCTCCTCTCTCTGTCCATCGCCACCCCGGACAGGGCCGGGCTTCCTCAGGGCCTCCTGGTGGGCCCTGAGCCCATGGCTGCTGCTCTCCTGCCCCCCAGGAGGCCCCCGCGCCGGCCTGGGCTCCCCCTGCTCCTTTGCGCCACCCCACCCGCCTCCCCTCTCTGGCCACGGGTGGGTCCCTGTGCGCCCCGCGCCCCTTGTTTAGCGTCGTGTGTCTAACGCTTGCCCCCCAGGGCCGGGCTCCACGCGGTTGGATGCCGCAGCTGCTTCTGACGTCGGAACTGACAAATGCCCCTGAGCACCGTCAGCGTGCCCAGCCTGTTGTCCCTGTGCCAAAAAGTGGTCAGTCACTGTTTGAATGAGCACAAGAATGTCCCTGAGGCCCTGCCACACGTTTTGTCAGTGACCCCGAGGAGAGTGGGGTACAGAGGAAAACCTGCCCCCCACGGACATCCAGGGAAGGGAGGGCAGTTGTGAGTCGGTGGCAGTGTCCCCTCCTCCCACCTCCCTCTAGGTGTCCCCATTCTGGGACTCGCCCTCCAGGCCCCACCTGAAGCTCATGGAGGACCGTCTGTGGCCAGCCATGGGGAGACTCCTGGAGGAAAATGAGATGGCGTCAGTGGGGACCTCCTGGTCTCTGGCTCCCTCCACAGGGCAGGCAGGTGTGACAAGTGAGTGGGACACCCCAGAATCTGCCAGCAGGAAGGGACGTCCCTCCACTTCCGGCCCAGTTCCTGGGTGGCTGCAGGGACAAGATCGGGGTGGGGGGCGGGGAGCTGCCTGGACACCCGGCCCCTTCTCGGAAGGCTGCGCAAGCGTGGGTTTCTCTCGGACACGAGGGAAGCTGTGCGTCTCGGCTGCATAGTCCCTCTGCGGGCGCACCGCTGCTCAGACAAGAAGAAGAAGTGGGGCTTCTGCCTTTGCAGAGGCTGCACATGCGCAGAGGCCGCGGCACCAGGCGTGACCCCAGTTGAGGAGGGAGTGTGACCAGCCAGGGAGGGATCGGTATGGCCTGCAGGGCGTGGAGCTCATTGGCCTAGTGAGGTCAGAACCAGTCAGCGAGTTGATGAGAAATGCCCCCTCGCTCCCTCACACCAGCTGAGAGGTGGGCTGAGGCCTGTCGGGGTGCAAGCTGCCAGCCTGCCCAGGGTGCTTCTTGGGTGGCTGTCTCTATCTCGTGATCTCTGCTTCTAGTGACCTTCACCCGCCTGGCCACATCTGCCTTCCCACATCTGCCTTCCACCAAGGTACCGGTAGCCTGGCCCCCTAGTCATGTGGCTACAGCTTCTGCCGAGATCCCTATCCTGTCCCTTTCATCTGGCTACAGCTTCTGCCGGGATCCTTATCCTGTCCCTTCTCAGGGGCCTAGACGTGACCCTCAACTTTGAGGGAGATGGACCACACTCTCTCCCAGGCGCCCTGACATCCCATGATGTACTGGCATCCTGGGCTGCCATAGCAGTACCACAGCTGGGTGGCACACAGCAACAGAAAGTGTTCTGGTTCTGAAGACCAGAGGTCCGAAATCAGGTGTGTGCAGAGCGGGCTCCTCCTGCCGGCAGAGGGGGCTCCATTCCAGGCCTCTCTCCAGATAGTCCTCAGTGCTCCTTGGCTTGTAGACGTGCCTCCGTGGTCCCATGTCCTTTCTTCCCCTCTGTATCTCTGTGTGTTTCCTTTTCTGTGTCTTATATGGACCCCTGTGTGGATTTAGGGCCCGCTCTAATCAAGGATAATCTCTTCTGGGGATCCTTACCTTAGATCATGTCTGCAAAGTCCCTTATTCCAAAGAAGGTCACATTCACAGGTGCTAAGGGCTAGGATTTAGACATATCTTTTGAGGGGACATAATTCAACTCACTTGGCCATCTAATACCTCTGAACAGGAAGACAGGACAGCTGCCCTGGGGAGGCTGGGTGGTGAGGGGGTTGGGGGGAAATGCTGCCCCTCGTGGGCTGGGTCTGAGGATTCTCCACCAAGACCTTCCTTGGCAAGAGCGTCATGCCACCAGATTCCCTGAGAGCTCAGCACATACGTGGTGCTTAGAAGCCACCACCTGGAATGAGCCCTTTCCTCAAGTGATCTCCTCCCATGAGAAACCCTGGACGCTTGGAGCACCATGGGGTCTTGGGTGGGAGGTGCTGTGCTCTGCGAGTCCTGGCCCCGCAGCCTGCCACTCTATCCACTGCAAAGGACCAGTCTTTCTTAGAGATTCATCTTCACGTCCTGGGGAAAGTATTTTTAAATAAGCTCATGTTTCAAAGCATGGAAGATTTGGTCTGGATTTTCTTTAGTGAACACAAGAATAATTAATTCAAGTTCTAAGAATAAAACCAGAATGGAAATTCTTATGTTATTTATGTTATAGCACAATTAAAAAAAAAAGAAAAAAGAAAAGAATAAAACTGGGCCGCTTGCCGTAGCCTTCTCATGTGGACCACAGTGTGATGGGGGCCAAGCGAGATGCAGACCAAGGGGGCTTCTGAGCTGCTCAGCAGGGGCTGTTGAAAACCACCCTGGGGGCAGGTGTCTGACACCCAGGCTCCCCGCAGTGGGAAGAAACTTTACCGACAGCCAAGGCAAGCAGGACCTGAGAGTTGTGGAGGCCAGCGGGTGAGGTGGCTGAGGGGAATGCAGGGTTCTGGCCGTGGTACCCCGACCGCATTCCTGTCTCCCAGGACCTGTTTCCCATCTCCTCACTCCTGTCTCCTCTTGTCTGTTTCCAGGACTCCCCTTCGACCGGATCTGCCCCCACGGCCGTCCCACGAGCTGGCACAGCGGCTGCAGAGCAGGGCACGTTTCCCAAAGCCCAGCTGCCCCTCAACGTGTGAGCTGCCCTTCGTGTCTGTCGGGGTCCTGCGACGTCAGCGCCCCGTGCTGGGATCCCTGTGTGTGGTTTCTGTAGGGCTTTACAGTTTGCAACTAGCTGGTCAGCACAGTTTTGTGCATCTAATAGCACGCTGGAAGGAGAGTGTGGGAAACAGAGGTCTAGTGGGTTCTTTTAATGTCCTTGTCCCCAGGACATTCATTGCAAGCAGAGGGATACTCAGAATATTTGACCACGTGGTCAGACCATGGCACTGGTCAGTCTGGAAAAGAGGGGGTGTGGCAGCCCGAGTGGGGACAGGCCCCACAGGCCCCAGAGAAGGTCCAGGGTGGCCTGGGGAGGGGGGATGGCCAGAGCAGCGGTCGTTTTGGGAGCTTGGGCAGTAGCCAGTTACCAGCTGCTCAGAGGTAGCTCAGTGACAGCCAAACCAGTACATTCCAGCCGCATGTCACCCTGAACACAGCCAGGTGAGCCACTGCTGGGGAGCGAGATGTTCATGGCCTTTAAAAAAATCTGCTCTGTGAAGTTATAGCTCTTAAAGATACGGGCAGTTCAAAATTTACCCATTTAAATAGTGTTCTGAAGAATTAGGTTGCTTTCTGCTCTTTTATTTGGCACTGAGTTCAGTCACTCGAATGAATGTTTCAGGTGGAGCATACAGATTTGGCAAACAGTATGGTGAGACCAGAAAGTTCCATCAATCTGGACGGGTCCGGGAGAGGCACCAAACCTGTGTTGTTGCAAAGCGGAATGTATTTCAACCAAAAAAAAAAAAAGCCTTTTGAAAAAGCACCTTGCCATGCGTCAAAGGTTTCCTGGAAGCAGCAGCCTCCTGTACCAGTCCCAGCCCCAGGGAAGGCGCCGGCCTTTTTCCCAAGGCTGACCGGAGAGCGGCGCACACAGCTCCTTTGCTTGCCCGCTCTGCCGGAATTCAACTTCAGGAAAGGAGTGTGACCTTTACCTTTCTTACTGAGTTTCCCAGGGGAACATAGATTAGCGAGCTGCACCTCAACTGTCTGGAGGTGGGAACTGAAGTCCTCACCTGTGCCGGACGGGAGATGCTGCTTCTGCCCAGGTTTCTGTGTCAGCTCCGGCGGCTTCTCTCAAAGCGGGCCAAGGGGGCACGTGGGGAGGGGCGGGGGTGGGCTTGCTGCTCCTGAGGATCTGGACACAGGATGCCATCCCCAGAGGAGGAGACACAGGGAATGGCCCTAATGTGGTTCCCCAAATGAGAAGCAGGACAGGGCCGGGCCACAGGTCTGGAGAGTGCAGGCTCTCCATACCTCCGCAGCTGGCATTCCGGCTCTCCCTTGCCAGGTTAGCCACCCGAGAAGGCTGCTCTGTCCTTGATATCCAGAAGGTAACCCGGTTCCAAGAATGTCACTCTCCAAGAGTTGTATATATCCAGAACATATTCTGAGGCCTCACTGTGGACAGACCTCCATGTCCCACGTGGGTTTTTGATTTGGCTCAGAGTTGGAGGGTCTCTCCCTCCCGAGGCCCCTCTGCCCTGGGGGACCGGGTCGCTGTGACCTGGCTCCACTCTCTGCCTCTGTGCCTCACCCCCAGGGCACAGCTGCCTCTGTTTAGCTTGAGATTGTCATCTGGGTGACAGGAAAGGGAGACTTACGTGTTAGATAACGTTCTTCTGAGGATAACAAGAATTTGGTGAGAATGTGTCTGCGGTGACACGGGCCGTCAGATGCACCGTGATCAGCATGACTGCGGAAGTTCAATGTGGACATCCCGGGCTTTAATACGGTGTAGCCGGCACAGGCTAGGCAGTACTTCATACATCACAGCAACATGCACGGTCCGTTTTGAAACTGTGACCTTTGCAATCATGTTTATTTCATTGCTAGGGAGCAAAAGACCAGATCGACCCCATCAGTCTATCAAATAGGGGATGAGCCCGACTGCTCCCCCATCCTCGCCGGCTCCACGAGGCTGGCAGCCCCACTCCCAACGGGGACAGGCACGCGACCTTTCCTTCTCTGACTGGTCTTCCCAAAGCAGTGTCTGTAGGTCACGTCCAAAGACTTGAAATTGAGCCTGAGATGTGCTGTTTGTACAAAGACAGCTGCAGCAATAGGCGCTGCTATGTGTGAGGAGTCTGCAGAGGGCCCAGATGGGGCCACTGTGGAGGTCAGTGGTGGGATACCTCCTGGACCCCTGTTCCATGGCCCTCGTTACTGCATTGGCTATGACCCCTACAGGTGAATCACAGCCTGAAACGTGCCTCCTCGTGAGGCTGGATCTGCACAGTCAGCCTTTCTGTTGGTGGTGGGGAGTGCTCTTCACCCTGACTTCTAGCATATAAAGGAGTCCCTTTGTCACCAGTGCACAGAGGTGGCTGCTTGTCTGTGGAGACATGAGCCCACTCCTAGGCCCCCCGTCTCCACTCCTGCTGCATTGGGAATTCTATTCTGCGGCTTGTCTGCCTTTCGTCTGGCTGACCTGCTGTGATTCCCGGGAAGCGGAAACGTTGAGTGTTTGGTCCTGGAGGCCAAGCTCTAGGTCAGAGCTGAGCCGGCCGGGATCCTAAAGGCTGACGAGAACACTCGTGAACAGGGTGCCCTGATGCTGGGGGGGTTGCCAGCCCCCTCCAGTGCTTTGGTAGAGTCTCCTGTGAGCTCTGGTGGCTGCAGTGGTGTGGACAAGGAGAAGCTCAGGCATCAGACAGCCGCCTCTGGGGAGGATGCCCGCCTCTCCCAGCACCAGCTCTCGGACCTGCGAACAACTCTCGCCTGTTGGAGCCGCGCTACAGGGCTGTCGGCTTGCCGTCGGAGAAGGAAACTTCCTCAGTCAAGTGGGTGCAACTGGCGTGTAGGGGAAGACAAGTGCTTCCTGAGCTGTGAGACCCTCTGGATCCCCGCGGGGGACCTGGAGTCATGTTGAGGAAGCCAGAGAAAGACTGGGAAGCAGAGGGAGAAAGGGAAAGGGAACCCACAGGAGACCGGGGTCCCTGCACCTGGTGGTCACCGAGACGTGCTCTGTCATGAGCAGATGACCTCAGGGCCTTGCTGTGGTCAGGGTAACCCTTCTCATGACCCTTCTCCATTTGTCTTGATGGTCAGAAGGCCCCTCAGGGATGATGTGGGCCCCACATTCGGGGACACTGGGAAAGGAGGCACAGCCTGCCAGTGCAGGAAGGGCATCTGTCCTCCACCTCACAGTCACAGGTGGCCAGCTCTGCACATGCCTGCGACGGGCCCAGAGGAACCAATGCCTGCCAGGGCTAGGGCAAAGGCCTGGCACAGCGAGGACATGGGCCTGTGCCAGCGGTGTCCCCGGCCAGCTGTCCAGCCTCCTCTGACAGTGCCCAGCCGTACCCACCCTCAGAGTGCCAAGAAGATGTGGTCAAGAATGAGCCAGAGTAATGCACCGGAGACCTGCAGTACCAACTGCTCCTGGCCCCACCCCTTGTGCCTGCATCTTTAGGGACAGTACAGAGTTGGGACCCCAAGCAGGTAGGGAAGGGGGAGAGATGCGGGTGGGAAGAGCAGAGAATGGCCTTGAGAGAAGTCTCCAGACAGAGCACAGAGCCTGGTGGGCAGAGGTGGAAGATGGCCGAGTAGCTGCAGGAAGATGACAGCCCCGATCCCCTAGAGGTCCATGTCATGCTCTCAGGACATGCCGGCAGGAGACAGACGCTGAGCTGGCTGAAGGAGAGCTCTGGAGCCAAGACCGCCCTTCAGGGTTTCAGGGTTCCCCTAGCTGGATTGAGGTGGTGCTGGCTTCAGGCCGCCCTTAGGAGGGACAGTCTTTAGTGGCACTGCCCCCTGCAGGAAGTTCCCAGTGCAGGCAATGCCACGAGCCCTCAGCAGACCCTTGCCTGCAGGAGGGACCGGGGCTGGGCATCGCTAGACCCAGGCCCAGGGTGCACTTCAGCCGCAGAACCAGTAGGCTGGTGGAGACACACCGCTATGCCTCAGCCCCAGAATCTGCCTCTCTAACAGGCTCCAGGCAAGGCTGTTGCTGCAGGTCCAGGACCACCCCTTAGGGGTCCCTACACTCCATCCCCTGTGGCAAGTGTGGAGGGCGCCTGCCCACAAGGTGGCCTCACAGCTGCCACCCCAACTTCTGCCTTCCCTGGGCTCTCAACCCATGGCTGCCTGTGTGATCCCAGGAGATCAGAAGGCCCCTGGGGGGAGGGGTGGCCTCTGCTGGGCAGCCAGATCAAAAGGGGTGGCGGGTGCTTGTGCTCAGGGGCAACCTCTACAGCTACACTGCAGCCCCAGAGTTCCCCATGCCCTCCTCTGAGCATTCACACATGGGTGCCCCACCTGCAGCTGTCCTCCCCCAGTGGCTGCAGCCCGCTCCTTTCACACGCAGGACTCACTCATTGGCCCTGACACCGCACTGTTAATGTCTATCTCTACCACTCGTCACTGGCGGTTGTCCGGTGACATCTCTGGATGGGACAGTCCCTGAGTGGGCACACGTGTCCTGGACCGAGCCCTGCAAGGAGAGCAGAAGCAGGACTCCTTGAAGGAGGGATGGGATAGAGCCTTTCAATTATTTGGGGAGACACATGAGCAAGCCACCATCTAGAGGAGAAAGGGTGCGAGCAGACGAGGGCACTGAAACACCGATCGTCCTCTCCACGATGAGGGCGGGAGGGAAATCTGCAGACGACAGCAGCTGTGAAGATCCTGCTACAGAGATAAGCAGGTAACACGGCTTGAAGGCTGTGCTCGCATAGCCAACAGGCTGCACGTGGGAGCAGGTGACGCACCACACCAGCCTGTCTGCTCTGTGCCCATCCCAGGGCACGGGGTGAGGGGCAAGGGCCCCACCCCACCTTGACCCAGAGCCCGTAGCAATCACTCAGGGGCTGCTTCTGCCTGTACAGGGCACCTTTTCCCAGTGGGCCCCAGGGCAGTGGTGAGGAAGGCTCTCTGAGCAGTGTTCCTATGTTGCCTCGAACTCTGTGGTTTTAGCAGCAGCCTCTGTGTGGGGATCACTGAGGGGACGTTGGCACGGAGGCTGCCGTCTGATGTAGACATGTTGTAAAGCTGACCTGGGCACTCCGCCAAGGCCTGTGGTAGGCTGCCACGGCCTGTTGAAGCCAAAGGAAAGAGAGGGCTGGGCTCTGGGAGCCCAGAGGATGAGAACGTGCTGCCTGCGGGGCCCCGGTCCCCCCTACTTTGCACTGGGTCCGGCTGCATTTGCCCATGAGACCGGCTTGCCGTCCAGCCCTGCGGATGCTGTCCAGCTCAGCGGAGAGGCATCTGCACACGCAGTCCTGGCAGGATGCAGCCGAGGGACGTCTATGGGAAAGGGTAGATAAGAGGTGACACTGCTGTGGCTGTCACTGGGAATCTGGAAGCCACCCGGTTCAGGAAGTGGGCTGTGGAGACCCCGAGGGAGGAGGCAGCAGGTTGAGAGGAGGCCGGTCTGTTCTTTGGACACAAATCACTCTCCCAGCGTGGCTCATCCAGTGCTTCCTCTTGAGTCACTCCAAAAGGAGAGCAGATGCAGGAGGACGTTCCCTGCCGGGCCAGTTCCCTGCCTAGCATGAGCGCACGCCAGATATGCAGCCGCCATGACCCACTCGGCACATCCATCTGCTTTTGGTTTCCCCTCTGAGGTGCCCAGGGGAAAGAAAAGGAGGAGGGGGAGAGATTTTCCAAGGTGACGTCAGGCTTATTTTCACTCCGGTTCCCCCAGCAACATGCACCTAGAGGCCACACTTGAAATGTTGAGGCCAGAGGAAGGATCGCTCATTGGACAGAGGAAATTTGAGAGGAAGATGAACAGAACAAGTGCTTTAGGGCCTGGTGCAAACCGGTGCAGCACCTCCCTGACGGTGGGCCACGCTGGGCTCACAGCTTCCCTGCCTCTGACCGTGACCCGCCCTGAGCATGCCTCTGAACATATGTGAACAGGGACTGAGTCTCCATCTCTTCGGGCCTTCGCTTCCTCAGCTGTGAGGCCTCAAGGTCATGTAATGTGTAGGCAAGACCATGTGGGATCTGGGCCCAGTGTCCTGTCCTCCCCTTGTCCCGACTCACCTGGCGGCCGGGCATGTGAGGTGGGGCACAGCTCTGCACGGTGTCCCTGGCCCTGCAGGTGGCAGCATGTTGTGTGAAGGGCCCCAGGAAGAGTCATGATGAGGGTGCTTTGGGGAAGAGGCTGTGACGGCGCCTGGAAGGACACCCTCTCCCCTGCTCAGTGTCCGCACCCGGGGCTGTCTGTGTCACTGGGCATCTAATAAACAAAATAGACTTCCCATGTGAAGAGGCAAAATGTAGCAACCTATAAGACGCAGTCTCGCAGCAGATCCCGTGTGGTGGAGGTGAGGGGAGTGGAAGGGAGCTGGTGTCCCCTGCCCCCGGCGGTGTGGCTGCATGCTCAGGCCCGTGCAGTACGCCGGCACACGGCTGCAGCTGTGTCATTACACAGTTTTTCACACAACTTTCCTCTGAGGCCATCAGAGAGCTCACTGAGAGTCTGCAAACGTGAAAACAGAATTCCACCCTGGCTCCTCTTTACTTATCCCCTGAAGATGTGATTTAGCACTGAAAATGTGAATCTTTAGGCCCAGGAGGAGTGAGGAAGACCCTACCGGGGAAGTTCGTCTTGCCTCCCCCTGCCGGGGTTTGTTGTGAGGAGTGAGTCAGGTGAGGGGCATGCGAGTCCTTTGTAAACTGTAGAGCCCCCGCAGATGTCAGCTACTGTCTCTAGGCTGGGCTCATCCAAAGACGAGCTCCTGTGTGCCCCGGGCAATGCTGGCCCTGCGGCCACCACGCTCCCGGGAAGACGGTGCTGACCCGGATGCGTCCTCTGCCTGCAGGTACCTGGCGCTCTATGCCTACAAGCCTCAGAAGAACGACGAGCTGGAGCTGCGCAAGGGCGAGATGTACCGGGTCCTGGAGAAGTGTCAGGACGGCTGGTTCAAGGGCGCGTCCCTGAAGACCGGGTTTTCTGGGGTGTTCCCAGGAAACTATGTGACTCCCGTCTCCAGGTGAGGGAGTGAGGCCCCGCATTCCACCGACCAGCCTGACTGCTGGAGGCCATGCTGTGGGAAGGCTGCGAGGGGGGCCCACAGAGCACTCACTGGCAAATGGTCACCTCCTTAGCTGGGTGTGCTTGTCTCCCCTCAGCAGACGCTGGCACTGTGGGGAGGGGACCGGGAACAGGAGGGGCTGGAGGCAGGGCAGCCGCATGCCTCAGCCAGGATGGGACGTCGCCAGAGAAGGAGGTCTCAAGAGCGTGTGTGTGCACATGTGTACAGTATGAACACAGCATGTGTGCGTGCGTGCGCAGTGTGTGCACATATGTGCATACGATATGAGCACAGCACGTGCAGTTTGTGTGTGCAGTGTATTTGTGTTTAGTGTAAACATGGTCTGTGTGTGTGTGTGGTGTGCGTCATCACCTGTAAGTCTTTTATATGTAAAACACACATATATAATATGCAAAGGAAGAATGATACATTTCCAAAAGCTAACAATTGTTATTGAGTAATAGCATTCTGGATAATTTTAAATTTATTCCTTCTTTGTGCTTTCCAGTGTTTTACAAATTCTCTGTTACATTATGTCTATAAAGTAGAAAAAGCTAATTTTTAAAATTTGCTAAAGAAGTAACCGGAGTTGCCTGGGCATGTTCCCTTGAGCTGAGGGGTCCTGCTGGGTTTTATCTCAGTCAGTCTTAGCACGGAAGCACCTCATGGGCACAGCCCTGAGGTGACTCTGCAGGTCAAGCACATGAGCGGTAGACACGGCCCTTGCATCTCTCCCGGCTTTGGAAAAGACTGCCGTGTAAGCATTAAGTGACGCCTAGACCTTGCCCTGACTGCGGGACTGATTCCCAGAGCTGTTTCAGAAGGCAGGTAGGAGGGCACTGTGGTGTTGATTTAAGTACCTGTAGTGACCAAGGCATTCTTCAGCCTGTGCTGCCTGCAAGGTGCCCAGCAGGGGTCTGGGGGAGAGTGCTGTGTGTTCTGAGGCCTGGCAGGTTTGAAGACACACGGTTGAGGGGCTGTGAGAGATAAGCTTCGCTAAGAAGGCCCTCAGCAGGGAAAAGTTTGAGAAGCAAACTGCAGAGGGGCCACGGGAAATGCCCATGCCTCACACCAGGATGCTCAGCGCAGGGTGGCTGCTCAGGGTGCGAGCTGCCCCCTGGGCCTCGGGACTAGCCCGGGTCTCTCAAGCCATGATTTGCACTGGCTCTTTCAGCTGTGATGGGCTTGTCCTTGAAGCCCTGGCTGGGGAGTTGGGCTCACCCATCACGCAGGCCACCCATCATGATGAGGGGATCTCCCTGCCCAGCTGGTGCCCTCAGGAAGATGCAAGCCTGAGACGCTGGGTGTCTGCACCCCCAGCCCTGCCTGGTCCTTCCTCAGAAATGGCAGTCAGAGCAGCGACTCCTGAGGAAGGCAGTAGGCTTCTCCAGGCTGCTGACTGGCTCCCCAGATTCCCAGTTTCATTTCTCTCTTTTGAGTCTTCCTTTACATTTACCTGAGAATTCCTCAGACCTTTCAGACACATAAAGCCTGCGATTTAGATCCAACTTCCTTGTGTGGCTCTAGGATCCCCCCACCCCCCATCTGACTGCTGGTCGTTCCTAGGATCCCCCCACCCCCCATCTGACTGCTGGTCGTTCCTAGGATCCCCCCACCCTGCATCTGACTGCTGGTCGTTCCTAGGACCCCCACCCCCACCTGACTGCCGGTCGTTCCTGACGCACACCTGGCAGCACCATGATTGGGAGGTTGTTCAGGCTGCCCCACCCCTCTTCCTACTACCAAATTGAATCCTACACATCCCTTGAGGTCTCAGACTTCAGTCCCAAGCTGCTGTCAGAGGACACGACTCTGCCTGCCCTGTGGTCCTGAGCGGGCTGCGTGCGAGTGCTGTCGAGGGTCTCCTGCAGGTTTGCAGGGCCCCACTCTGCCAGCCTTGACCACAGTAGCATCTCCAGCTTTGTGTCCCCGGCCCCTGGCACGCCATGTGCATATACCAGTGCCCAGTGAATGCAGGTTGAGACAGTAATAGAATCGGGCAGCTCTGATCCAAACTTCACCTCACGGACTATCTTCCCACGCCTCCAGAGACCTTGCTGTGGGGAGATTCTCCAGCCGGTGGATCTGGGGCTCTCCAGGTGGCCCAGGCCAGCTCACTGCACCTGCTGTGCCCCTCACCAGTCGCCCCCTTCCTCTGGCCCTCGCAGGGTTCCTGTTTCTCAAGGTCCTTTGGCTGTTTCTTGAATATTCACCTTTAGAGTTAGCCCCGTGAAGATTTTATAAAGGGTGCCTCTGGGCATTGTTCTGCTGCCAGTGTTGTCTGGGCACTGTTGTAGGACTTTGTCCCTGGACTCCTGGCCTTCCTCTCTGAGCCAGTAGGGAAGAGCAGGCCTGTGCCCGTGGCCTACACGGCGTGATTTCCTCTGAGCCCTCTCACCCGACTTCATTCTGCTCTGTTTCCTTAGGGTTCCTGTAGGAGGAGCTGGGCCACCCCGCAATTCTGTGGCTGGAGGGTCTCCTCTGGCTAAAGGGGTGACCACGACCATGCACCCAGGCGGGGGAAGTCTGAGTAGCCCGGCCACAGCCTCCAGGCCCGCCCTGCCCCTCGCTCCTCAGGCCCACGCCCAGCACCCAGCAACATCTCCACAGATGGGCAGCTGTCTGTGGCACTCGGCCCAGCCGGTCGCCAGCCAAGCCCGGAGCCCCATCTCAGCAGGTATGTATGCGACTCCCAGGCCTTCATCCTGCTGGGAAGTTGGCAGGGTTTCAAGGGCATAAGCCATGAGACACACACTAGCCCAGGTCTCAAGTGATCTATGTGGGCTGAGTTGCATTTGCTTGTCAGTCACCAACTCCGCTGATCTCCGGGAAGTTCGCTTGACTTACCATCTTACCCTATCCTGGCAGCTGAAGCGGGTTAGAGAATTTACAGATATTTACACGCTTCACTGTGGCGAGAGGACTGCATGGACTAGTAAGTTTAACACTGGCACCCTCGGACATCGCCCCAGTGCGGCACCTGACAGTCAGCCGCATGAGCTTTCCACTGACCAGGCTCTGCAGCGTGCCTGCCAGGCAGTGTCTCAGGTCAGGCTGGTAGGAGACACAGATCCAGAGCGTGCCCTTTCTGAAATGCTCTGGGCCTGAAAGGCGTAATGGCCGTTGATCCTTCATCTTCAGGGCAGCATTGTCAACTGACAGGCTGACTTGGGGAAAAATCAGTTTGCCCCCCGGGATGAGGTGAGATAAAAGAAATTATGGGGGAGACCTTAAGGGCACAAAGAAGGTAAATGCATCAGCTTAGCGTTGAACTGATAAAAACTGCTGAAACTCACAGAATGCTCCCAGGAGCCCATGCCATGTAACCTTCCTAAACCACGAGCCAGTGACTGTCACCATGCAGTGGGAGTCACCCAGGACGAGAGGATGTGACAGAATTTCTCTTGCCACCTGTCAGGCTAGGTCACAGACCCTTCAAATCTGTTGTGCAGACTGGGTCACAGACCCCTCATAAGCAGGTCGTGAGCTAGGTAGCTGGAAAAGATCCTGGGAGCTGTTGGCAAAGTTGACATGCTTCATTCAGACACGAGCTCAGCTTCTGCAGCAGCAGCAGCGTCCCTGGTGGCATCCCAGGGGCACTGTGGATCAGAGCTGTTTGTAGTTTATACTTAAGTCAGATAACCCAGGGACACCTGGGTGTGAGTCAGATAACCAAGGAACACCTGGGTGCACCTGCATAATTACATCAGACAATAACCAAGGAACACCTGGGTGCACATGTGCAATTAACATATTTACATTAAACAGGCTAGGTCATGCTTGGCAAGATTCTGAACATCTGAGGGAGCCTGACCATTTGCCCATTTTCCTTACGCTACCCCAACCTTGTCCTCTCAGGAGTCACCTCTCTTCTTCTCAAAGTGAGGTTTAAGAGCAAAAAGAATGTAAATTCTTTGCGGCAATAAATGCACTATTTTTTAGACTAGCTAACCAGAAGAGTACCCATTAGAGGGGCTCCAGAAAGCAGCTTCTGAAGGTGAAAAATAGCAACAATACATAGCACAGCAGGGGCCGTGTTTTCTCCCAAGTCACAGCTGATGGTACAAAACAGAAGGGGGCAAATGTCCCCCTGTCAGATCTCCTCGTCCACTTGTGCCTACACATCCTGAAACTGGGGAGGCTGGCCTGCCTGCACGTGCCCACACTGATGCCAATTCAGACTTACACAGGACAAGAGGAACTGCTGAATCCTTGCAGGAAAGCCCGAACTTAAAGCAGACCAGGTTGATGGTTTTTCAGTCTAGTGCATTCCAGCCTGCTCTCGGGTGGCTTGCCCACTGACCATCAGGGAAGGGAGGGACGCAGGTGTGGGCGGGAGGCTCTGTGGTGGGGCCCATGGGGATGTGGGGCTTGGAGATCAAGGAGAGGCTCTTCAGAGGAGTTTGTTCCCAGAATGAGATGCAAAGTAACACTCAGGCAGGGGAACAAGGTTGGGCGCATGGGAGGCAGCAGGAAGGGAATCACGCAGGGAGCGCAGTGGGAGAGAGTAGGCGTTTACTCAGCCAGCTGCAAGTGATGTGGTGACGGCTCAGCAGACAAGCCTCGCTTGAGGCATGAGCTCGAGAGGCACGCACATCTGTGCTCAACTGCGGGGCCTGCTCTTACTGCTGTGGCCTCGGTTTCCCCTTGTAACATGGGGATAGCAATGGCACTGACCTCCCGGATGTCTGCGTGAGACTGGCTAGCATGACACTTGGTATGTGCTCAATCCGTGGTAGCTGTTTTTGTTATTCTGTCAGAATAAGAATATTATTGGAGTACTCAATACATGAGAGTCAAAAAAGCAAATGGAAACTGTTACCAAAGGACGTAAGGGGGCTAAAATCTCTCTTAAAGGCAACGGAGCCCCACTGAAGGATTTTTAACTGAGGGGGTAACACTTCACCAGACATCACATGGCGTCCCTGGGCTCGAGGCAGGGAGCCAGACCGAAGGGTGAGGGGCTGTGGGGGCCCGAACTGAGGGAGTGGGGTGCGGCATGGGCACAGATTAACAAGCTACGGAGGAGGCAGAATGGTCACAACTTGGAGGTGGGCTGGACGCAAGTGCTCAGGGTGCCCAAGGAACCAAGTCCACCTTCCAGGTTTCTGGACTGGTTAACTGGGAGGATGATGCTGGCATCCCTGCGCTAGAAGAAACCAGAAGAGAACTGATCTGTGGGGGAAGATGATGAATAGATTTAGGCATGAGGATTTGAAAGATGTAGTGGTGTTGGTCACACTGTGGCCCCCTGGCTGATCTGGAACAACCCCCCTACCCGGGGTACACATCCCATGTTATGAGTTCCACCTCGCTGCAGTAGAAGATGGACCCTGCTTGTCCAACCTACCATGTAGGCAAGGAAGGGGCAAATGAACCAACTCCAGAAATTGAAACTCCCCACACGACTTTCAGGCAGATCATAAAAATATGAGGTGCCTTGTGGGTCAGTTTTGAGCATGAAAGTGGTGGTGAAAACATCTAGCTATTCAGGGGCAGCAAGGGTGGGCTTCTGGTGCCGAGCATTCAGCATCATCCATGGGTACAGATGGACATCAGGTGCCCAGTGTCCAGCACCACTAATGGGTGCAGGGGCTCTTCAGGTGCCCCATATTCATCATCATCAATGGGTGCTCGGGAGCTTCAGGTACCAAATGTCCAGCATCATCAATGGGTGCAGGTAAACTGGGTACCCAATATTTAGCGTTATCAGTGGGTGCAAGTGAAATTCAGTTGCCCAGTATTCAGCCTGACCAATGGGTGTTAGGGGACTTCAGATGTCTAGTGCCCAGTATCATCAATGGGTGCAGGTGGCCTTCAGATGCCCAGAATTCAGCATCATGAATGGGTGCAAGGGGACTTCAGGTGCCCAGTGTCCAGAACCAGCACTGGGTGCGGGTGGATGTCAGATGCCTGGTGTTCAGCACAATCAGTGGGTGTAGATGAACTTCACATGCCCAGTGTTCAGCATCATCAGTGGATGCAGTGGGGACTTTGGGTGCCCAGAATTCAGCATCACGAATTGGTGCAAGGGGACTTCAGGTGCCCAGTGTCCAGCACCAGCACTGGGTGCAGGTGGACGTTAAATGCCCAGTGTTCAGCACCATCAGTGGGTGCAGATGAACTTCACATGCCCATTGTCCACCATCATCAATAGGTGCAGTTGGACTTCAGGTGCCAGGTGTCCACCATCATCAATAGGTGCATCTGGACTTCAGGTGCCCGGTATTCATCATCATCAATAGGTGCTAAGAGGATTTCAGGTGCCCAGTATCCAGCATCATCAGTGGGTGCCAGTGGTCTTCTGCCCAGTGTCCACCATCATTTGTAGGTGCAGCTGGACTTCAGGTGTTCAGTGTCCAGCATCATTAATGGGTATAAGTGGTCTTCACATGTCTAATGTCTAGCATTATCAATGGCTATAAGTCGACTTTAGGTGCCCAGACACAGACAGGTGAGCAGCCCTGCTCCTCGTTGTGTGTGAGCATCCTGCATAGCAGTCCTGGGTTATCTGTGAAAAACAGCCAGTGTAATGGTCTTTCCGTGCCAACCCCCACTAGAAACTTTCCCAATTCAAAGAAGAAAATGGAGCCCTGCCAGTCACTTCTCCCTCTATGGAATAACAAGCAGTATCAAAAGAAATTGGCATGGCTGGGGGCAGTACAACATTGTGTCTCAACCATCGATTGCCATAGTAACCACGATGGTGTGACAAGCATTCTCTCCCATCAGTTTAATTTTACATACAGGAAGAGTGGGGCACAGGATGGTTAAATGGCTCCCCAGTGCGTCTGAACCTGACGCTTGTCCCCACAATATTGCCGTCATGGGCAGGTTAAAGAATGGCTCCTATGAATCATATCAGTAAATTGAATGCCACTGAGTTCCCACAGCATTTTCCACTTCATGCTGCATTTAGAGAGAGAAAAAACACTGTCAACAGTACAAGTAATGGATTGTTCACTGCAGTAATTGCCCATTTCAGCAGACCCCAACGCTGGCAGTTGGGAGGCATTTCATCAATGTTCTCATTTCCAGCCAAAGTCAGGCAGTTTGACAAAGGCTTAATTGCATTGGCCATAGCATCCAATATGATTTATTCTACTTGATTAATGTAACTCCTTTTCCTGAGGGCAGAGCACCCCCTGTAAAGCACCAGTGTTCCTCACACACTCATATCAGTGCTGAGCAGAGTTGAGAGCCCTATACACCCATTTATTTGTCAGCAAAAAAAGCACCAAAACAGAGCTATATACAGACAAGGCATTCTGCAAGAATCTGGAAGTACAGAAGCCAGAGAGACCACATTTCTGTGCCAGTTAGAGAGAAGGACAAGAAAACCAATTTCTACAATAGAGTTTGAAAAGAACTGTGGTAGAAGCATAGGAAAGGGATTAAGAAAGCTTGGAGGAGAGAAGATTCACTCAGATTCTGGAGGAAAGTAGGAAAGGGGATGGGAAGAGGTGTATGGAAAGTTTTCAAGAGGAGGTGGACAAATAGGAACAATCTGAGCAGACGAAGCAGAAAGGGTGTTCTAGGCAGAGGAACTAGCAAGGGCAACGGCATGGCAGTGAGCAAGACATAGTTCTTATTCTGGGTAACTTTATTTAGTTCAGTGTGACCGAAGCAAAAGTATGGAAGGGGAAGTCCAGTGTGTTGATGACAAACTACTTTCAA